GGCCCCGCTGAGCCCCGCGGCCCCGCTGGAGGACCTGGAGGGCCGCATGCGAAGCCACCAGGTGGGTGACCCTGCGGAGTAAGAGGTGGCCCTGCCCTGGGGCTGCAGGAACTAAGTCCGGCAAGTGCAGGGGCAGCCACGGACCCAGGCTGAGGAAGGGAATGCCCAGCCCAGGAGTCACACAGACCGGGTCCTGCCTGGCTCCTCACTGACCAGCTCTGTGACCCTGGGCCATTCACTTAACCTCTCTGGGCCTTGGTTCCTCACCCTGAGGGCACAGAATATGCAGCTCATCTGGTTGTTCGGAGGATGAAGTGGAGTAAGGCCCGGGGAAGGTTCTAGAGGCCCGGGCCCGAAGTCAAGGCCCTGGATGTGTCCTGGGAGGGCCCCAGGGCAGCAAGAAAGCCCGGAGCATCTTGGGGTGTTATCTCCTGGGAGGCGGGAGTGGGGTGGAGGGACCTCCCTGGAGAGGGCAGAGTGTGAACAAGAGAATTACTCCGGCCCTCGCTGGTTTGGATAGAGCGTCAGCCTGCAGACTGAGGGGTCCCAGGTTCAATTCCGGTCAAGGGCACAGGCCCAGGTTGAGGGCTCGATCCCCAGGAGGGGGCGTGCAGGAGGCAGCTGATCAATGATTCTCTCATCATTGATGTTTCTACCTACCTCTCCCTTCTTCTCTGAAAATCAATAAAAATATATAAAAATAAAAAAAGGAACTGCTTGGAAGTGCTCACAGGGAAGGCCCTGTCCTCGCACCTGGTGGGGGAGGGGGAGCCCCGGCGGGAGGGAGAGCAGTGGGTTTGGGCCTTTCACGTACTAGTACATTGTCTGGGTTTGGTTTTTTAATTTGGACCCGTGCTGCTCCCATGGCTGTGTGACCTGGGACTTGACTGCACAGTGAACAGTGATGGGGGGAGGTGGCACCTGCTGGGCTGGCAGGAGGGCGGGGAACCCACCTGCCCAGAGCACAGACTCCAGCCCCACCCACCCCAGGGCACCGCCCAGCAGCTGCAGAGCCTGGGAGCTGAGAAGGAGGCGGCCCAGCGGGAGTGTGAGGCCTTCCTGTCCGCGCGGCCCGTGGGCCCTGCTGCCCTGCACCTGCCCGTGGCCCTCAACAACGTCAAGAACAAGTACAGCGACGTGCAGGCGCTCTGCACCCTCTATGGGGAGAAGTGAGTGCTGCGGGGCGAGGGGCAAGGGGCGGGACGGCCGGCTGGGTGGGCAGCACAGATCCAGGATGCAGACAGGGTCCTCCGCGGCTTCGAGTCGGCGCTGGCCCAGGAGGCCCCCCTGCCCGCCGGCCCGGGCGCCCTGCAGGAGAGGGTCGGCGAGCTGCAGGTGAGGGGTCAGAGCTGGACAGGCTTCGGGGTGAGGTGGCGGGTAGAAGGCCCACCTCCTGTGTTCCCCCCAGCGCCAGCGACGGGAGCTGCTGGAGCAGCAGGCCTGCGTGCTGGGGCTGCACCGCGAGCTGAAGGCCACGGAGCACGCG